GCATTTTTGCATTTGCATATATGCAATAAAACGTATAACTAAAGGAGCATGTAGAAATTTAGAGCTTTTTAGAAACCTAGTAGATCGGGTTTCAGCATTCAAAGGGTAGCTGAAAACCGGGCACGGTTCAGATCAACATGCCAAAATAACTCCTTTTTTTCAAAAGCTTTGTAAAGCAGACTGTACTATCGGAATGAAGTTATGGCTAAATTTTATATGGAAATTATTACTTATCGGATCATCAATATCGAAAACAGTCATCGACTGCGAGAAAACATCAACGACAGTTTCATCACCATTAGTATATTGATAACCGTTCCACAGATCTCTTTTGCCTCGAGTTAATGGATCCGGACATTCGTCACTTGTCCTCTGTAAAAATATTACTCGAAACTTAGAGATTTTTTTTAGATGGAATCAATTTCTTTTTTAACTTAAAAGTTATTGAAAAACGGAAGGCACATTCCAGGCGTTGCAGTTACCTGGTTTTGGAGCCAGAAAATTTCCCACCAGAAAAAACTATCACGTATCCATAGACGAAATTTAGGCGTACTTGAAAGTAAAATTTAAAATTCCAGTTTCGTAGGTGTGCAGAAAACATCCCTTCAGAAAAGGATTAGGCCTTCTATCTTCTTTGGCCTCTTAACCGAAAAATGTTTTAAAATTTCTCGTGCCGGTGTGAGAAATGTGAGCGTAGGTGGGAGTTTGAATCAAACTTCAAGGATTACGTGTGGATATGAAGCTCTATTGTAGAATTTTATCTTTCTTCTTTTTCAAATCAATGGTTTGAAAATCCCTGTCAAAAACCCGAAAACACATGCACAGAGATAGGGCCTAGACAATATGTGTACTGCTGCTGCAGAGCAAAGCACGTAAAAATGTTGGCTGTGACAACCGCTCCGGACTCCATAGATAAGTAGGAAGTGCGTCGAATGAACGATATGCTAAACGTCATACTAGGTAATGAAATCTACCGAACAGAATGCGCGTTGTTTACTTTGCTGGCAACCGGTTGACGTGGATTTTCAATATATTAACTCA